GGTTCCGGGGCAGCCCCCGAGCTGGCGTGCGCCGAGGGCCCCGGGAGGGTCTGTGGGGCGCGGGTGCGGCAGCCGCCTTCCCCAGGGATTGCTTTCCTCCACCCACCCTGACGCTCCCTGCCAGTCCCGCGTTTCCAGGGCCTGGTGCGCCCAGGCGCACGCGATGGCAAGGCCAGGAATGCCAGGCTCGGGGAGGAGGGGCTCTGCCTCAGCCACCCCAGTGCCTTCGCCCCACAACCCGTGGCGCGGCCAGCTTTGGCACCCTGGAGGCCGCGTCTCGGATCGCTGGGTGGCCGTGCATGTTCCTCCGGCCGCCCTAGGCCAGCCTGCCTCCTGCTCACAGCCTCAGTCTCGCTGCGCCCAGCGCTCTTCTGTCCCCCATCCCTCTGCCGGGCTGAGCTCTCCGAGTTCCACGGCCCCGGGGGACGAGGAAGGTCAGACACCGACAACTTCTCCCCTGTCCTCCCTCTCTTTTACCCTTCACCGCTACAGGTCAAAAACTGAAGCCGCTTTTCTCCTAGCATCTACCTCTGCGAACTCGCGAAGATGCAGCGTTAAAAACAACAAAAAACCAAAACATAAAAAGGAAAATAAGAGGGGGAAAATTCAAAACTGGAAACGGCTGTGTCCGCCCGCTGAGGAGAGGAGTGCTCCCAGCTCGGGGAGGCTGTCACAGCAAAGCGCAGCCGGTACGTGCGGCCCGCCCAGGGGAACGCACGAGCCCCGGCGAGCGCAGGACTCCGACCGCGCGAGATGGCCGCCCCTCTCAGGCCACCTTCCAGAGCCTCTTGGCGCAGCCCGCCCGCTAGGGTGGGTGGGGAGAGGAGGTGGTGAGGAAGGAAATGCGGGAAGGATGGACGGGGAAGGCAGAAAGAAAGAACACTCTACCCTAGTCTTTCACAACTAGCGAGAGAAGGAGGAAAAGGAAACCTGCCTGCCAACTGAGCACTTTCCACTGCCACTGAGCTTCACCCCCCGAAAATGTAGAGTTCCCTTCCGCCACCCCCCACCACGCACACAACGGCCTCATGACCGAATGCGCTGCGACACCAGGACCTCCAGTTTGACTTCTAGAGAGACTATTGGCCATGCAAGTTTCTATCAGTTCCAGCTGATTTATTAAAATTGTCAAGATACAGACTTCCAGCACAAAAAAAAACAAAAAACAAAAAACAAAAAAAAACAGGCGATGATGTCGACAGTGCATTGAGTCTGCTTTGCCACCATTTGCTACAAAGTATGCAGATGGTCTGTACTTTATTTAGATTATATTGCACAAAATGAGAAACTTTTTAAACTATGTGCCTTTTTTTCCTTTTTTGCTAAAAATCGAGAATCCAGTTTCAAACCTTCCATCTGGGGCCCCATCCACATCACAGCGTATGAGATACATAAAGTCCTACTATAGTACAGTACATATACAATCTTTAAACTAAGATAACAGCTCTGAGGTCTATATCACCATTTTCAATAAATCTTTACCTACAAATATTGAACAAATCTCTACTATAGCTGTACAAAAAAAAGTTTGCTTTTTTTTTTTTTAACCACAAGGCCTTTAGATGCAAGGATTATTTTAAAATTTTAATCCTTTTTAAACCAGGACATAACGTACCAACATACTTGCATGCTAAAAACAGAGGAAAAAAGAAACCAAAAGGGAAGAAGTGCCTGAAAGTCTTACTGAAAAAACACAGCAAGAATGTTCCCTTTTCACTGTACAAAAATACGCCTGAAAATATATTAATTTTTAAAAAAGACTGAGGTCTGTTATGTATCAAAAATGTTTCAATACCTTTTGTACTGAGGTCTAGGCTGTCTGGTATTCAATCAAGGAGGTATAAGGGAACGAGTTACAAAAAAAAAGTTGGCAAGTAGAAATCACATTTGTAAAACCATAAACAATTTGATCTGAAAAGTAAACTCTGATCTTAAGTCAGTTCACAGTTTTTTTTGTAAGCGTTTGTACAGTCTGCATTTTTTCAAGCTCCCTGCAGTTTTGTTAAGAATCGGATGCATAGAAGACATCAGTTTTCTCCCTCCAAAAAAATAAAATTAAATTAAAAAGTTGCAATGGTCCCTTTTTTTGTTAAAAAAAAAAATCACCAGTTCTTTAAGCTCTCTTAAGAAAAAAAATCTCCACCAACTCCCTAGAGTAACAGTTGTGCTGCCAAAAGGGTCCTCTGCAGACGTCTTCCAGACTTCAAAGACCGACAAGCTTCAAACAGCGCCTTCCGGAGCGGGTTCTGCCTCCCCTCCCCCGCCCCGCCCCCTCCGCCTTTGTTGCAATCACGAATTTCAGGAAAAAGAAATAGTAATTACAAAAACACATTTTGAGGGGAAAAAAAATCACAACTCCAGACTAGGTATGCAACTACCTTGAGACACGATAAAGGAAGGGAGGGGGGGGACAAAAAAAGGACAAGAAAAATGTTTAAAAACTACTCATTTCACTTTAACTCCACCAAAATTTTCATCATCTTTTCCAATTTCTTTGCGTCACGACATCTTATCAAATATCATCAGCATCTTCTCTCCCCTCCACCCTACCACCACCATCAACACCATTATCATCATGACCACCACGACTTCCTCCCAAGGAACCCTGCTCTGCACCCGCCGAGAGAAAGAGCGAGAAGCGGGGCGCCCCTTTCAATACGTGAACACCAGGTCGGAGAAGTTCGCCTCCAGCCAGTCCCCCGCGATCATCTCGCTCAGCTCCGGCGTGCAGTAGTCGGGGAACTCGAAGTGGGAGCCCAGGCTGCCCTCGCTGAACGAATCCAAATCCTTATCCACCAGCGACAGGGACAGGTTCCCGGCCGCCGCGCCGGCCCCCAGCTGCTGCTCGGTGGCGCTGTGCGCGCTTTGGGAGAAATTCAAGCTCAGGTCGAACATCAAGTCGTCGGCGTCCTCGCCGCTGCTGCTGCTGCTACTGCCACTGCTGCTGCTGGACGAGGAAGAGGTGGAGACCGAGCGCGAGGACGCGGGCGACAGCGCAGGCTGCGCGAGCGGCGGCGGGTGCTGCTTGGTGATGTTCTTGAAGCTGTAGTAGAGACGGCTGCCGCCGCCGGCGCCCGAGGTCGCGCCGGCCCGCACCTCGTCGTAGAGGCTCGCGCCCTCCGGGGACTCGGCCGAGCTGCTCAGCGTGGGGCTGGCGGGCACCTTGGCGACGTTGTAGCGTCTCAACAGCTGCGAAGGCTGCTGGCCCGGAGGTTGCAAAAGCTGCTGGTGCGGCGGCTCTTCGTCCTCCTCGTCTGGCTCTTGCTTGATCTGCAGCTGCAGTTCGTCGTCGTCTTCGTCGTCCTCGTCGTCCTCATCTAGAAAGACGCACTTGACCGTCTTGCCCGCGCCGCCGCCGCCCGCGCCGCTCACGCGCAGGCTGCCGAGCACGTAGTCGTCGCCCGCGCCGCCGTAGTCCCCAGGCTGGGCCGCCTTGCCCGCGCCAGGCTTGGCGCCGGCAGCCGCGGGAGCCTTAAGCTTGCCGCATTTCTTACTCGAGCCTTTGGAGGTCTTGGCGCCGCCCGCGCCGCCGCCTGCGCCGCCGCCGCCGGCCGCGCTCTTCTCCGGGCTCTGGCTCGCACTGGGCTTGGCTGAGGGGTCCATTTTGGGCTTTTTCCGGGGCCGGTACTTGTAGTCAGGGTAGTCGGCCATGTGCTTAAGCCGCAGCCGCTCCGCCTCCCGGATGAACGGGATCTTCTCGCTGTCCTTCAGCATTTTCCACCGCTTGCCCAGCCTCTTGGAGATCTCGGCGTTGTGCATGTCCGGAGACTGCTCCATGATCTTCCTGCGCTCGATCTTGGACCAAACCATGAAGGCGTTCATCGGCCGCTTGATATGGCCCGACGCCGTCTTGCACCAGTCTGGATCGCTCTCGTCCAGGGCCACCGGGCTGCAAGCCATGAATTCTCCCTCCTCCGTGTCCAGCGCCTCCCGGGGCAGGTTGCTCTCCGCTTCCAAGCTCTCCGCCTGCTGCACCATGATCCGCTGCGGGGCTGGGCGCTTGAACCCGGGCCGCTCGGTCTTGTGCGGAGGTCCCCCTCCCCCTCCCACCCCTCCACCTTCCTGGGCAAGTTGCAAAGTCCTCTGCACCCTGGGTCCGCGGCTCCCCCCCTCCCCCCCGCCCCCCCTTCCAGGCTGCACACAGCGGCTGCGGCGGCTTCGGCGGCGATGGCCGCCGGCGCACTGGGAGCTGCGGCCGCGACAGGAAAGGCGGCGGCGGCGACGGTCTAGGTAGCCCAGGACCCCTCTCTCCGGCTCGTGGCTCCCACCGCAAGCGCCAGACCCCGAGCACTCCCAGGCGCGCGCGCTCCTTCTGCAAAAAGTTGAGGGCTCTCTCTCAACTAGTTATCAGGGTGTCATATGGGTGACATCACTCGCCCAGCCAGCCAATGGCTGGGGCCGGTTTCCGCCTAGCTCCCTTTATTAACTCGAAGGCCCCGCCCCCTTTGCCCCGCCTTCAGGGCTGCTTTGCAAAGATGGGGGTGGGGGGAAGAGGAGGCATGTCTAGAAATATGTTATTTTTAAAAAATCCGCGTGTGTGCACAGATGCGCCTCTCCCCGGGATGCTTGGGAGTGGCGCACGGCACCACAGTGGGCAGGCGATCCCAGGACGAGCCGGGATAGTCCAGGCGCCGGTGCCAACCCAGAACGAAGTCCCGAGAGAGGCCCAGTGCCCTTTTGTGCCCGGTCACTGGGAGGCCCGTCGGTGAGCGCAGACGGGCGCGCTCATTCGCCCCGTGCACACACTTGGGAAGGCGCAAAGCCGGAGACGGCCGGCACAGGCCAGCTCGGGGTCTTCAGCGCCGGGCCCTCCGGAGGGTGGACACAGCCGTCCCCTGGCACCCCCCAACCCCCCCGCGAGGCTCAGCCGCTCCCTGGCGCCCGCGGCCCTGAGCCCGCCCGCGAAGCCCGCGGAGCCGCTGGCCGACGGAAGGTGGCGCTTTGACACCACAACCTTCTCGGGGCACGTGGGCCCAGTTCCCTTGTTCCCTTTCTCCTTTTTCTAAGGCAAATAAATCAATTTAAAGCCCAGGAGACCGTTTCCCCCCCTCCTCCGTTTGCATTTTTCGGTTTTGTTCTTTTTCTCCGTCTGTTTTCCCTCCTCGGCTACGTTTGGAGACGTCGCGGTGCGGATTTGGCGGCGCTGCGCCCCCGGCCGCCCTCCCCGCCCCGGTGCTGGCGGGAGTAACGGTCTGCAGGGCTCGGCTGGTGCCGGCCCTCGCGTTCGATCTGGCCACTCTCGAGGCTGATTCTTCAGCGGGTCCGGGGACCAGCCGCTCAGTACCCCCTCCCATTCACAGGCCTCTCTGGTGAGGGGGAGGGCTCCCCGCTCCCCGTCCCCTACCCCGCTCCTCTCCCGCCCCTCTCCCCCGCCCTTCCCTCCTCCCTTCTCCTTCCCGGTCCTCCTCTTCCTCTCTGTCCCTCCCCCCTTCCTCGAGCGCCAGCGCCCTCCCCATCTGCCTTGTCTTGAAATCTCGCAGTTGCTAGCTAGCAAGCCTTCTTTAGACGAACACCATAAATCGAAAAGAAGATAAGGTGCACTGGAGTTCGGAATCTAAATATTCCCCATCTATGTGGATGGAATGCAGTCGGGACCTCGCGGTGGGCAGGCCAGTTAGGTAAAGCAGCCTTCGACCCCGTCCGCCTTGCCATGCTGATCGAAATCCGTGTTTCTTTGTGTTTCTTTAGTCCCTGTTACCCATCTTTGGGTATTCTAAGAGCAATTCCGAGGAAAGCGCCTTTTCCTACGTATTGCCTGTCGTCTTCCTAGTCTCCTCCACGCCCTCCAGCTCTAGGGATCTGGCAACTTTCAGTAGTTCCAATGACACTGCCCGGAGTCATTCACTGGAGAAGTCAGCGATTTAAGACTAGTCAAATTGTCTAAACTTGCTTCCTTTCAGGTGACCTTCCTGCAAATACTGTTACTTTCCTTAAGTACTGGATCTTTACTGAGCATTTTACTATCATGAAATGGTACCATGTTTTCACAGATCATTATTTGAAAAAATCACCGCCATCGCTACTCCCCATCCCCCCACACTTCTAAAGGAAAACGCTGCTATCAGATATTTCTAATATTCAAACCAACTTAAATCTTAATAATGTTGGCAACTTATTTATTTGTATTTTGGGGGGCATCAAAACTGCCAGAATTTAGTCTTTCACACTGGGTGATTCGATGTGTGGAGATAAAACTCAAGGCAGTGTGTGAAAATTCATCTTCACTCCCCCAAGGCAAGCCGTGTGCCTTGTTTTTCTCTCAATTCACACGTTTCCTAGCTATTGGGACCGTCACGGGAGGGTGGGGGAGGAGTAGACTTTGAATCCTTTGAATCTGCACCCTGTCCCTGTCCCACCAACAAAGGACAGATCCATACTCTAGACAGAAGAATTGAAATATTTTAGCTAAGCTCCATTATTTGCATGCAAGGTATGAGGGCACCTACCATTTTAGACTCTGAAAAAAACATTTATTTGAAAATCTTTGGCAAATTCCATATTCTTTGCATTTACATTACAGAAAAATCCATGCTTAGCTTTAAATGGGAATGGTCTGGATACAGTAGGACTAAAAATAATGGACTATTTTTTGTCTCATAGTGTGCGGTCTTAGATGAGATATCAGAGAAGTCTACTCTTCCAAATAAACGATTTCTGTTCAAAGGGGTGATTTGTTGGAAATAAAGCTGGACTAGGAAATGCTGCCTAGTCTTGAGAGTACAGGGGCTAAGAAAAACGCGTGGGAGGGTGTGATGTGTCTTTGAATAAACACCTTGCAAAGACTGGGAGTGCTGGAGTCGGCAGACGCGCACAAAAGCAGACGCCCCCATACAGCAAGGTTAGCCAATTTTCACAAAAATTGACTAGCTTGCTGTTTTGTAACAAGGATCTACCCCACATATCCAATCTGATCAGGCTTAGTAGGGCCTTGGAGGGGGGAAAGAAAAAAATTAAATAATTATTCTGTGTCTTTTTTTTCCCTTTTAGTTCCCTAAGGGAAAATTTTAAATAAATATAACTTAAAAAAAATTGAGACCTTGCTTCTTACAGGATCAATATTTACTCCTGAAAAACATGTTTGCAACATCCACAGTTACCAACTAGTTCAAGGAATTCTGGGCTACAAACGAAAAATGTGGGCTTCTTTAATAACATTCCTGTTGAAAGTACCATTTAGTAAAATGGAAATGCATCTGACGGTTTTTACCACCAAATGTGTATCACAGGTCCATCAGTCGTCTTGTTTAGAGATAATATTCACTTCATTTTTGTGTGTCTATATACTTATTTATAATTAAGCAGTTTTCCTACTAATGTTAAATATTGTTGGATAATTAATATTCACTCTTACAAGTCATATTTGTTAAAAGTCTCAAATAGCTAAGCTATATTTTTATGGTTTATTATCTCTTTACGGTTGCATCTTAAAAAAAAAAAAAACTTCATGTAAAAGGACTATTATATAAGGAGGGAGGATAGTTTCCAAAATCTCACAAAATTATAGCACAATCAGAATAAATAAAAATGGGCTCGGGCACCTATAGCTCAGCGGCCAGGGTGCAAACCACATACACCAGAGGTGGCCAGTTTCAACCTGGCATTGTGGTGGGCACCTGTAGTCTCAGCTATTTGGGAGACAGAGGCAAGAGATTCGCTTAAGCCCAAGAGTTTGAGGTTGCTGTGAGCTGTGATCCAATGGCACTCTACTGAGGGTGACATAGTGAGACTCTGTCTCAAAAAAAAAAAAAAATTTTTTTTTAAATAAATAAATAAAAATGTTTTTTTCCTCTCTGAAGAAGAACCATTTTTAAGCAAATAATATGCTAAAAATACCACTGGGTACATATGTGGGGCGTTTGACTGCTGGCCGCATTTAGAAGCGTTCCAGCCCTGCGTGTTTCCCGGTCTCCTGAGGAGGCCGGCCAAGGAGTCCTGCCTCTTTCCTCCCTTTCCTTCTTCTTCGGAAATGGATTCACTCCTCATTGCTCATGTCTCTCTGTATGTCTCTTCAGACCTAAATCCTGACTCGGGATCTGAAGGTCTTCTGTCTGCTTCGTAGATACACCCCAGAAGCGTAATCAGTGTAAGCTGAACGCACAGAGTTCACGCATGCGCGCGCACGTAGCCTCTAACTTGGTGAATCTTTTTCCTTTTTGTTTTTTGGCAGTTTTTGTCCGGGGCTGGGTTTGAACCCATCACCTCTGCATCAGGGGTCAGCGCCCTACTCCTTTGAGCCGCAGGCGCCGCCCCTAACTTGGTGAATCTTGTGACATACACATGGATGGAAGTAAAATGAAGCGCCGTCTAGGGCCCTCACCACACTCGCAGATGCTGAGCCGCTGTCTCTGCAGGGCGTCTCCGAGGCGCCCCAGAGACTGTGACCTGCCAGGCACCTGACTCCACACCCGTCCTGTCCTGTTCTGTTCTCCTCACCCGGCATTAGGGCTCTGACATTTTATTCTGTCCATCTAGAACAGTGTTTTCCAAGTTTTCCGTTTACCTCCCCGCACATTTGAACCTATAAACTTCCGTGGCACGCTTAAATGATGTTGATCCCCCGCTCCGAAAAAAAGAATATATCTACTGTGCTTTGAACTTCTTTTGAAAATAATTTAATTGGTGACCTTTAAAAATGTTCGCAGCACACCTAAGATCCCGGTGTGCCCTGGCACACTGGTGAAAATTACTGATCTAGAACTTCCTTTCACGGGCTCTTTCCTTAGGTAGCTCTCGTTTCATTCAGAACTCAGGTGCAATTCCAACAGGCCTCCCTCCGCGGCGCATGTGACGTGGAGCTCTGCCCCCATCACACACACACAGCCACACGCACGGTCCCGCAGACATCCTACCAGTGAATGTCATTATCCAGGTAGGTTCCTAAGAACACAGTTCAGTCACTGAAATGGTCTTGTTGGTCTTTTCATTCATTTGCCCCCTAAATCTCCCTCTGAAGAGGATGATCTATTGAAGCCAGGGCAGCAGGGCAGTACAGCAGAGGGCAGAAGCTTTGAAACTTATTTTGACCATGACCTATTTTATAAAGCACA